AGGAACGTCTGTCAGACGCTGCAGCAGGTTCACCTGAACAAGGATCATCCACTGCAGACACACAGTTATCCAGTTATCCTAGTTTTCAGGTACAGGGACTCAACCTGCCTTTGTAAGGGCCGGGGCCCGTAGCATGTAGATGTTTCTCTGCTTCAGTACATCCGGCTCCAGCGTGTCAGCAGAGCTCAGTGTGCAATGAAGCAGCTTCAGCAGCTGCATCACCACTGAACAATTACATGTGTCATATGACATTTTGAAAATAAATTGGCATTATGGGAACATCAATGTAAAAAAACCTCATTTTTTGCTAAAACTTGGCCCAAGAATGAGGTGTAGCTTATTTCACAAGACTGTGAAATAAGCTACACCTCATTCTACACCACGTCTAAGTGACGGAGCTCCTCTCTAAGTGACGGAGCTCCTTTCTGGTGACGGAGCTCCTTTCTAGTGACGGAGCTCCTTTCTAGTGACGGAGCTCCTTTCTAGTGACGGAGCTCCTTTCTAGTGATGGAGCTCCTTTCTAAGTGACGGAGCTCCTTTCTAAGTGATGGAGCTCCTCTCTGGGTGACGGAGCTCCTTTCTAGTGACGGAGCTCCTTTCTAAGTGATGGAGCTCCTCTCTGGTGACGGAGCTCCTTTCTAGTGACGGAGCTCCTTTCTAAGTGACGGAGCTCCTTTCTAAGTGATGGAGCTCCTCTCTGGTGACGGAGCTCCTCTGCTTCCTGCTCGGATCAGAACCACGCCTCTTTTCCTCACACCGTCTGCAGGAAGTTTCCTTTCTGGATTCTCCAGATCACGGCTGATGCTTTGAGCTGGAGGTTCAGATCATTTTTCTCAACCTTTAAAGTTTTGTGTTCCTCTGAAGGGCAGCAGCATCAGTCAGTCAGACAGAACCAGCAGGAACGTTTGGCCTGAATAAGTCCAACCGGGACAGAAACAGCTGGCAGGGAGAGAGGAATCCTCTGGAAGGACGAGTGAGGAAAGGTTTGATAAACAGTGAATGATGAAACAAACACACCTGGATTCATGTCTCCTTTTCTATTCTGCTTCATTTGGAGTTTCTATCAAAGTTGAGTTAAATCAGCTGGCAGAAAAAAAGTTACTGGTTCAAATCCTGGCAGGTGAAATCAGAGCTGCAAGGAGCTGCAGGTCTGGTTTCACCTGCTTCCTTCAGTAAATCAGCTCTTAGTAACACAGATTTCTGATCAATCAGTGATCTTTAAAAATCCTGACCTGCCAATTTTGATAAAAACTTTTAAGTGACGCGCTCCGGTGTTTTATTGTCACGATACACCTTCAATGTTCCAGTATTATTCTACTGAAGAACAGTTGTGGAACCAGGAAAGCTTGTTCTAACTGCACATAAAGTAAAGCTGCAGTGATTTTCAGACCTGTGCGGCGGTAAATAAGATCAGTTTCACACGTGAATATCGGCCGATTGCAGGATCACCCAACATTATGGAAATCATGATTTCTTAGAGGCTCAAAGGCACCAACAAAAAATCAACAGATATTTATTACTAGGCCAGTTACTCAGTTATTGTGCCGTGAAGTTCACAAATACAGCAAAACGTGCAAACATGTAAAAATGTTTCAGACGTTTGGGTTTTAGAAACGTAGCTTCCTTTGGAGCTTCACAGCAGAAACTTTGTTTCACTGATTATTTCAGGAAGAATAAAACCAATAAACAGAGACAAAGCAGTAAAAAATCAACATTTAATCTACAGTTAGTTAGACAGGCAAACTGGAGATATGATCGTTCCAAACAGGATTTTAGGCACAGGGACGTACATTTAAAAATAGCATATATTATAGCATATATTATTCTATGTAGCATAAAGGCTTTTCAACGCAACAACAGAAGCACTTCATCATCGGCTGTACAAAAATACATCTAAATCTCTCTTTATCTGCACTTGTAGGCGTTGGTGTCGGTGTGGAGACGCTGTATGGATGCTTGTTTTTGTCCTGCTGCAGCCGGATCAGCCAAAGTCGATCCGCGGCCGGTACTCCAGAACCATCGGATACGTCTGAGAGGACCGACATGTTGGAGGAATACAAATAAAAACACATCACAAGAAAACCACTGCTGGAGTTTGTGGTCAGGAAGTCATTTTTTATTTTACTAAAAAGGGAAACATTTAAAATGATTAACACTCATATTCAGAGCTGTAGCGTCATGGATTCGAACCTTTATTGTCCATCGGTGGGGAAACTCAGATGTAACTTCTGCTAAGCAGGATGTTAGCATAGCGTTTTAGCATTAGCTTCCGCTAAGTAACATGTTCATATAGTGCGTTAGCATTAGCTTCCGCTAAGTAACATGGGCGTATAGTGCGTTAGCATTAGCTTCTGCTAAATGCCGCGTTAGCGTAGCGCAGATGATGAGTCTGTGCTGCTGCTGGCAGCTCCAGGCTGTCAGCGACACACAGCGGCTGCACCGTCCTTCTGCGTTCTGGTGCGTCATTCCTCCCAGGAAACAGAACCAAGTCTGATCCGGGTCTGAACCGGGTCTCACTGAGCCTCTGGGTTTCTGACTCTCATTCTCCATAAACCTCAGAGTCCAGAGATTCGATAACAGATCCTCACCGTCTCAGACCTGGAGAACCTTAAGGCTGGTTTTACCAAGTCCAGAATTGGGATAAAAGAAGGCTGAACACTGGACCACCTTCTGGTTCTGGTTTTAGTTTAAGGGAGTGAAAAGTTGTGCAAGCAGATATTTGAACTTTTCTCATGTTTTCCCTCCATTAGGTTGAAACTGATTGTTTCTCAGCTCTGCCGTCCAGGTTTATTTAGTCATTTGAAGGGGTGTGAAAACTTTTCAGATATTAAATATTGCTTCCCAATCTTCAACAGAGAGCTTTGACTGCAGCTAACGATACATCATACTGGATGATGTTTATGAAAATCTGCAGCAGCATTTTCTCGTAAAACAACGATGAGCCCTGATTGGATCTGACTGAAATGGTTTTTTAATAAATTTTACAGATTTTCCATGAAGTTTCTGCTCTAATGTTCCTTTTAACGTTACAATCAGATTAATTTAGGCAGAAATAATCCGATCTTCTCATCTCTGTCACTTTCCTTACATTACCTGCAGCATCAAACCGGAGCTAAAAATAACGACCTGCTAATGTTGATGACTCAGCGTTTGGGACGTAAATAAGTCTGAAGTCTGGTTCTGGTTCTGCATCAGGGAGCCGGGCAGACGCCGCTCAGGGAAGCTCCTGGCTTTTCCCTCATGAATTCAAATTATTTCATCATATTTACTCTAATCAGCCAAACTAAACCCTGATCCACTGGGCCAGTGAGGACTGGGCTTCTTGTTCTGGCAGAACCGGGTCAAACACAGAACATGTTCCTTCAAAGGGATAATTATTGATTTCTCTTTATCCTGTATTGATTCCAGAAACAAAGAAAGGAACCAGGTTAAACTACTGAATTTATTTAGGGTTGTTCTGACTGAGAAGCTGAAACTAAACCTGTAAGAACACAGGAAGTCCATCCAGTCTCACCTTTACTGTACGAATCACTGACACCATCCAGATCCTCACTTCGGATCAGGAGAGTTTTTTTCACAGACTTGCTGAGTTAATCAGCCGTTTATTTCCAGTTACTCACACATTTTCTATGGAGCTCATCTGAAATACGTACTTGATACGCTGTTGGCTGGTGGTTACAAAGCAGCCAATCCAGGAGCGCCATTTATTTTCCTTGACGCTGATTGGCTGAACCTCTAACAGTGGAGAAAAGGTGGATGGTTTCTACAGAGGACATTAATGCATATAGAGATATATTTGGTGTTTGATCTATAAAGATCATTATTATTAGTGTTTTTAGAGTTTTTTAGAGCACATAGAAACAGCAGTAGTGGTTTTCTTCTGTCGCCCCCTGCTGGTCCAGGAGGACTGGATGCTGCAATTCAATAACTTAATGCTCCTTTACATTAATATGAATAATTAACTGAGCTTCATGTCTGTTTCAGAACCAGGATGAATGTCTGATTGGGATTTAAATGACTTTTTTCTGGTAAAGTTCTTCTAAACGACATTTGTTGTAAATTAGAGCTGAAAATGATTTTATATGTCCACAGGAAGCTGTTGGAAGGAACCACAGGAAGTATCCCTGTGGTTCCTGACATGTTTCCAGTTTTCACATGGTTACATCATCACACACCCCCAGCATTTTAACCTTTACTGAGGTCCAGTCAGGTCGGTCAGAGTCCAAACTGGATCATCCTGGAACCAGTTGACTGAATAATCAGGTGGAACATCTTTCTCTGGATCTGAGGAAGGGATCCATTAGTGGGAGTTATGCAACATCCATGAGGTTAAAGGTCACAGCTGGAGCTGATGGGCCTGGATTTATTCCCCCTGACCCGGGATCTGCTGCCCCCTGCAGGCACAGCTGTCTGCACGCCGTAGTTACCCTCAACCTGCAGCCCACGTCTCTAACAGGCTTCATTCATGACGCAGACCTGTGCAAAAGTTTTAAACCAGGTCCTTCCAGGCACAAAGCTTTTATCTAACTTGGATCTGATCCAGAGTTGAATCAGCTTCATTTTTAGCTCATTTTAAGGCCCTGAAGCTGACAGATACTTTGATTTCAGAGTAATATAGACGGTCCTGCTGACACACAGTTACTTGTTATTATTATTCTCAGAGGAGGGAGGAGTAAACAAAAATATACTCAAATTAGAGTAAAACAGCTTAACAGATTTTTACCCAAGTAAAACGTAACCATCTATAATACATAACTGATCAAATTATCAATCATTTAATATTTAAAAATTACATCATCAAAATATAAAGTTCGGTGGAAATGTTGGTATTTTAAAGACCAAAATTATAATAATTCATATAAGTAACAAAAAATCAGGGGGAAAAAAAATTTCCAAATCAGTTTCTTTCAATATAAAACTTATGAAACTTGTAGAAAAACTGCAGGTGTGTGTCTGTGTCTGGTGAAGTTTTGGTTAAAACATGTTTGTTTTTCATTTAGTGGGTAGAAAATCTGAATTTTACTTCAGTAAATCCATAATGCTAATAATATTTTTCAAAAAAGTTACTTAAATTAACTGAGTAAGTGTAACGACCATACAGATTTGGTAGTTTCTGGTTGTTCTTATGTTTTGCTCCTGTGAGAAAACTAAAACTACTCCTTTATGATAAATGTTCTACAGGTTTCTGCTGCAGATCTGGACTTTCTAGCAGCAGCTGTAATATCTGTAGTATGACTGAACTTACAGTCAGAATCAAACTGTAGTTCCTGCTAAAACAGAGAAGTCAGTCAGTCTGTTCATGCTCCACTCAAACACAAACCCACAACCATCCGGTAACTTCCACCTGCATCCACAAGCCTTCACTTAACTCAGACCAAATGAAGTGAACTCAGATCAAAATCCTGCAGCCTCCGGCTCCACGCTGCACAGATAAACGCCTTCCTGATAATTAGTGTGTTTGCACGTGCATGCAGACGCAGTTAGCTGAACAGGAAGTGAAGGAGACTGGCTTACGTTCTCTCCATGCAGCCGCCACCGGGTCATGTAGATGAACTCCAGGGTGTGATCTCGGCCCATGATTTCTCCGTTGCAGAGCACATCCAGCTGGAAGAACAGAGATCAGTGAGAGTCTGAGTCAAAGGCCGGCTGGAGGGTTAATCACGACAAAGATGAGGAGAGGGGAAGTTTGTTGAGGTCATGAGTGGGAGGCTGCTCTGAATATGTTAACGAGTGAGGGTGTCTGGTTTCTGATCAGTCAGCAGGAAGGAGCCGTTTTATCCTGGAAATAATGACTCACATCAAACTTACATTTAAATATTACTGGTTTTTAAATATTACTTTTAGTTTCCAGGGTTTCCAGGTTACTTATAGAAGCTCAAAGCATTCTTAAGCACTTACAGGCTAGCATCTGGGACTGCGCTGGAACATGAGGTAACCTGTTACTTTTCTGGACCTTAAAGTTTCACAGGTTACAGTTAATGTAACCTGTGAAACCCAGAAAGTTACTCTAAGTTTCAGGAAAATAGACTTGGAACCGTCCAGGAAGTATTCAGAGACGGTTCACCAGCTTCTAGCTGCATGGTCCCTGAATGCACCATGGAAGCTGCTGAAAATACGCAAAAAACAGAAAACTGGCCTGAACCTGATTGTTCTTAAACTGTTTTAAACTCGTTTGAAACAACAAACTTACAACAAACTTACAAACACCCAAAACTTTCTGCACTACAATGTCCACATTTCAGATTCTTAATCTTTCTTTTCCTTTCAGGTGATTTAATGAGGCTTAAACAAGGTGCAGAAGAAGAAACCTGGAGCTGACCTCATAAGAGCTCGGCAGCTTGAGTTTAAGACTGAGGAACTTCTTGATGGTTCCCACGGTAACCCTGCTGGAGCAGCGGATGAACCTCTTCATCAGGTCCTGGTTGGCAAGAGCAGAGCGGTGAGTTAGAGGTCCGTCAGGTTAAAGGTCAGGCGTTCCGGCGTGAGGCTCACCGTCACGCTGCTCTCCCCGGACTGACCCGCGTTGTGCAGGCAGTCCAGGCAGATGGCGATCTGAGGGTCGCTCCTGTGGTAGTCTCCATCTTCACCGCCCTCACCATCATCATCGGCGCCCCCAGCGGCGCCGCCGTCAGCAAGACACCGCAGGCTCTCTGGACACAAAGACGGGTCAGGGTGAGGATGAGGAGGAGCTCTGCTTCGTCAGGGAAACGGAGCCGGCTTACCCTGGCCGTTCTCCTTCGGCTGGTTCTTCTTCCAGAACTCCAGTTCCTGCTGTTCCTCTTCTGGCTCACAGCAACGAAACAAACATTTACAGGAAAACATCAGACAAAACGCCTCAAGGGATAAAAATAGAGAAAGCATCTGACAGAAATACCAAAATAAAAAAGACTTTCAGATCTTTTTATAGCTTTAGCAATTTTAGTTTCAGTTCAACCAGCAGCAGCAGAAGAAAGTCGACATGTTGCCTAAATTATCCTCAGTCAGAAACGGGAAGCTCAGAGGAGAAACTCCTGCTCCGTTTATCTCAGGATTAAGTCTGAATTTCTACAGAAGACGATGGATGAAGGACTTCAGGGACGATGTCCTCCAGACATGAGACAGTGGATGGACTTCGTCTGGTGAGTTTCTCTGATCAGAACTGATAGTGTAATAGTTCATGAATCTCTAACTTCCTCATCTAGTCCTGTTATCCCAAACAAACTGCAGAGACTCACTTTCTCTGAGTCCAGGCACCAGCTTGAAGATGATCTCCTCCAGGGTGTTGTCCAGCCTGAGACCAGAGGGACAAACGTTACAGAACCAGGTCCGGCAGAAAGAACAGAGGAATACCGGGTCAGAGGAGAACCCCACCTCAGCATCTCCAGGGGGTTGGTCTCATGGACCTGGATGCCACATTTAGGACAGTCGTTGCTCTCCTCAAAGTGCTGCACGATGCAGCTCTTACAGACTGCAAGACACAACGGTTCACACAGGGTCAGAAGAATCAGCAGCAGCTGAGATCAGCTTAGATACGACGTCCAATCACATGGCGCCACGTCTCTGACATACAGGACAAACCCGGAGCTGTGAGGTTTACTGGCAAAAAGGCCAAAAAGGCAGCTTTAACAACCCACCACCTTTAAAAGGTCCTAGTCAAAGACCAGTCATTACGGTTCCAACTTGAAAATACATCCTCAAACCTCTAATGAACAGATGAAGGATCACAAGTTACTCAACAATTTCATGTGATCCAGACTTTCCTAAAGTCTCAAACTTCAGAAATGTGGTTTAGATAAATCTATGTATAACTTTAAGGAACTATTCTCCTCCCTACTTCAGCTGCCAGCTGGGTTCTGACTTTATGAACCATAAACATGTGACCTGAGGGAACAGGAAGCTGAAGCTGAGGGAACAGGATGTTTACTCACAGGTGTGCAGGCACTCGGTGACCGTGGTCGGTTTGATCAGGTAACCTCGGCACAGGTAGCAGGTGATGAAATGGTTGAAGTCTTTTACCAAGTGCTTCCGTCCCGTGGCGGCCATATTTGTAGTTTTCTGTGTGTCTGGAATCTCCCCCGAGCGTTATGAGACTCGGAGGTCCATTCACAGCAGCAGAGTCAGAAATGAAAGCGCAGCGAGCGTAACGAGCGGCAGAGCGGGTCGAAGGTCCTACTGTATGAAGTCCTGCTCCATAATGAGCCTGAAGTTCAGCAAACAGCACAATCCACTCAGACGTTAGTCCATCGTCACCAAACCACCCAGAAAATTCCTCTGGCGTCTCTGTCCTTCACTCAGACACATTCCACAGATCCTCAGCGGGGAAAACGACGACTCGGCAAGCTTCACCTCCCAGCCAGGAGGCCATTTGTAATCCGTCAGGGGTCAGAGGTGAGCTAATGAGGAGATGATGCTGCTGACCTTTAACCTCTCACTGATCTCACCTGAGGAGACGAAAACAGACGTTTAGAAAACAGGAAATCAAATCCAAATAAAGTCGGGAATGTTGACCCGTTTCCCATCTGATGAGTCATCAGTTCAACCAGCTGCAAATTCGGATTAATATTTAAATATTCAAATGATGTCTATAAAGACAAATAAACATCTATCAATCATTCTGATGAATAATTCATTAATTGGACAAAAATGCAGATTTTTCCTTTACAGAATTTGTACAAAGTTTTTTGAAATATTAAATGCAAAATATGTTGCATTAAAGTATTGTTTCAGTTTTGACCTAATTACTTACTGTGCTGTTCTTCTCAAGTTAACGATTAATCAATTACTAAATTAGTTGACAATAATTTCAATAATTGATTAATCCAATTAATCGTTTCAGGCGTAATGTATTTCAGTTAGAAATGAAAAATATCCAGACAATAAAATTATGTTTGTTATATTCAAAGTTCTCCACTTTATCAAAAATAAAGAAAAATAAAGTTTATTTATGGAAGTAGCAGGATTACTGCGCGACTCCCCAGTTCATCCCCACTTTGATGAATTAAAGGAAGTTTTGGATTTTTAAAAACATTCTGGATTCTGCTGAGCGTCCCAGCTGCAGACACACACACACACACACACACACACACACACACACACACACACACACACACACACACACACACACACCTTAAAACGGGTCGTGACCCGTTCATCTGGACCAGACGGTTCTGTTGCACCTAACTGCCAGTGAATGCGGCAGTTGAAACCCGTCTAACAGCTCTGAATCGTCTGCTGACTTTATTTACCTCGTCCTGGAGAATCATCTCCGTTTCTGCTCTGATCTTTGCTGTAAATTAAAGTGAAGAGCAATTAATGTCAGGGACTGAAGGAGTTTCACCACAGACTGATTTATTCCACGAGTCCAGCCTGAGTCTAAATCATAGGAAGAGACAAGAAAAAGATCCAGAGCCAAAGGAAGTGGAGCTGCAGACAGAATGAGTCTGACTGGGAATCTGCTGGAAAAACTCAAATATGAAGGATAAATATTGATTTTGACAAATTTACAAAATTCTCCAGGTGGATAAAAACTGGATTTCAGTGACAGGAAGAAGAAACTCATCTCGTCTGACTGCAGAGCAGAAACAGAGTTCAAAGTTCAAACGGCTCACAGGAAGCTGGACATATGCAGAAACGTTTTGATTTCATCTCCATATGAATACTTTATGATTAAAAACGTTGGTGTGTTTGCAGTTTTTGTTCAAATCAGGCCAGATCAACCCAGACTCCCATCACTCCCAGTCCGTTCCACCCAGACTGGTTCTGTAACCCGTAGGATCCCCAACAGGAAGCAGACACATTCAGGTTTGATTTGGTTCTCACACTCATCCTCCAACATGGTTTGATATGGTTGATCATTTTTACACACAAGCTGCTTGTTTAGCTGTTTTTGTTTTTAATGTGGGATTCAGACAGCAGTGCTTTGGGCTCTCAGCCTTTTACATTACTCAGCAGATTCTTCTTTCTTATAAGAATCCATCATGGCTGCCACCAAAGAAGCTTTAATCTGCAGGATGAAGTAAGTTTTGGTGATAATATTTTGCAGTATTAACGTTGTAACAGTAAAAGTGACAATAAAAACGACTTATTTTTTAGGTAGCTGCATGACTGTAACTGGAAGATGAAATGCATTGTGGACCTTTTAGGTTCCTTCCTGTAAACTCCTAGAGGCTCCATGGCAACACGCTCATCCTGGTTGGGATTAACGGAGCTGCTAATCTGGAGACTGGAGAAATATGACCAGAACCAGAACTGAGACCATCTACTGGTTAACAAACAGGAGTTTGACCTCATGGATGATTTAATTATTTAAAAATCGTCACAGTTTCATTTTAATGAAGTGAATCTAATTGGTTTCTTGTTAACTACAGCAACATAAAAGCCCAAAGTTTCGGAACCGAACCGCTCAGAAACTTTTCACCTGTTCATTGATGACGTCAGCCTGTGTCATGGTGAAACTGTCCAATCAGGAGCGTTCTGGGTCAGAGTACCTCAGCATATCTGAGCCTCCGGTACCGTCAGGTCAGATTGAAGCGGAGTCCTACTTTCCTGTCAGGTGCAGCTGCCGTGCGCGCGCGGCCGCTGCGTGTCGCTCAGGTGTGTGTGCGCGCGCGGCGCTGGTCCTCCCGCAGAGCTGGATCCAGCCAGTTTGACTCTGCTGCTACCAGAAACTACCCTGAATCCTTTCTCCAGCCCAGAATCCTCCTCGGTGTCCGTCACAAATAACCAGCGGCGCGCGCGCGTGCGCCTGCCTGCTCCTTCGTGCATGCACGCACGCGGAGTGGAACTGCTTATCTCATCGTTCAGGCGCGTCACGTTCTACGTCATCTGTGTCAAAACAACATCAGCAGGCGCCGCGCTGCGCCGTGACACACATGCGACACGTGCACGCGCCCCGCTGACCCTTTGCTGGATCCGCCGCCGCCGTACACGCGCGCAGATTCGCGCGCGCCGCTCGTATACGGACGGTAAAAGTTACGGAGGATGACGTCACAGCCTTTAAACGGAACCAAGCAGCTCGATTTGCGTGAACGCATCGCGATCCCGCATGTGCGCGTGCGCGACAACGCACTTTGCGTTTCGGTGGGCATGGTGGTGGGGGCAGACGAAGAGGAGGAGGAGGAAGAGGAGGAGGTCCAGCCTGCCAGGCAGCGTCAAAGTTTTGTCCAGAACGCGGCGACGTCAGAGGATGAATAAGATGAGAAATAATCAGGAAATAAAAACACGCGGCTCACCTCCACCGGGACGTCCACCATGGCGCCGCCTGCGCGTCCCGCTCACTTCAGCCCGGCCCGTGTGCGCCGTGGGAGGACAGAACACGGAACTGGTCGGCTCGGTTCTGCCCCAGTCCGCCCAGCAGTCAGTCAGTCAGGCAGGCAGGCAGGCAGAGAGCAGCGGTGGGCGGGGAGCCACCAGGCAGGCAGGCAGGCAGGGCGAGGAAACTGAAAGCGATTGTGTAACAGTGACTATCGGCCACAACACACACACACACACACACACACACACACACAGAGCTGTATCTGCCGTGAGGAGATGAAGCGCAGCTCATCTTCCTCTCGGTCAGGTTGGTGATGCTGCAGTTTGTTTTATTCTGATGTTGAATTCATCCAAATCAAAGATCGTCTAATAAACAGAAAACCATTAAAGATCTGATATTATTATTTATTCTAACTTCTTTATAAATATTCCTCCCTCTTCCTTCTAACTTCATCCAGCCTGGAACCGGATCAGGAATCCTGTGGATTGGATTTCAGCACCGGGTTTATGAAGTTCTCCACATGGAGCATTAAATCAGACTGAGGAGTGAACGCCGGTCTATTTGGTGCTTCGTTTACTGTGGAACCATCACTCACGTTGTTAACGGGTCAAACAAAGTAAAACTTTTACAGAATAAGACTCTCTCTGCAGCTCCTCCAGAGTCGCCATGAGCCTCTTGTCTGCGCTCCTTGCTGATGGTTTTGGTGAGCGGACATGTTTTGTGCTCTCTGAGTTAGTTTGTCCAGATCATAATCATTCCTCCAGAACTTCCTCGCCTCTGTAGGTCACTGAGTCATCATCCTGATCCTCTTCTGCCTCCACATCTTTCCAAGCATCCTAGTTGCTCTCAGCACCATGATTCCTTATTGCATCCTGCTTCCTCAGATCTGCACCGCTGCTCCTTCTGACCTCCATGTGACCTGAGGTCTTCCAGCAGGGCCTTCTCTGCCTCCTCCCACCTGAGCTTACCTTGACCTTACCTGCATGGACAGGTTCTTGTGCCTGTGAGTCATCAATGAAAAGTTTTTGCCTTTAAAACTTTGTGTAAATAATGAGACGTCTGGATGAAATGAGTTCAGGATTGCATCTGGTCTGAAATGTCTCAGCTCACACTGCTCTCATTCTGGTGTCAGCCTCCTGGGTCGGTCAGAATAAAGCCTCTGGCTCCACGACTCCACAGAACCAGGAGGTGTTTGCTGCTCTCCTGGCCCAGAACCGACTCTTCAAGAGGGAACAACTGGAGGGAAAACAGTCTTCAGTGACATCACTCTGTGGGATGTGACCCCTTGTTAGGGGGAGGTGGAATGTGTTGCCATGGTAACCACGGTCCTACTGTGGGAACTGTAAAACATCCACGATGTTTAGTTTCTGTGATAAGTCGAGATGTGAAACGATGATCAACTGGCAACAACAAAAGGACAACAGTTGATCTTCATGTGAGTCTGAATGAGGAGAAAAGCTGGAAGTTTGAATCCAGACAGGATGTAAGGAGGGAGAGGACACATGGACAGAGACATGGACAGAGAGACATGGACAGAGAGACATGGACAGAGAGACATGGACAGAGACATGGACAGAGACACGGACAGAGAGACACAGATAGAGAGACATGGACAGAGAGACATGGACAGAGAGACATGGACAGAGAGACATGGACAGAGAGACAGACAGAGAGACATGGACAGAGAGACATGGACAGAGAGACAGACAGAGAGACATGGACAGAGAGACATGGACGGAGAGACGGACAGAGAGACATGGACAGAGAGACATGGACAGAGACATGGACAGAGAGATGGATGGAGAGACACAGATAGAGAGACATGGACAGAGACATGGACAGAGAGATGGATGGAGAGACACAGATAGAGAGACATGGACAGAGAGACATGGACAGAGAGACATGGACAGAGACACGGACAGAGAGACATGGCCAGAGAGACATGGACGGAGAGACGGAAAGAGAGACAAGGACAGAGAGACATGGACAGAGACATGGACAGAGAGATGGACAGAGAGATGGATGGAGAGACACAGATAGAGAGACATGGACAGAGAGACATGGACAGAGACATGGACAGAGAGATGGACAGAGAGATGGATGGAGAGACACAGATAGAGAG